TATATATAATTTGGACTTTGTTTGAAAATCTTTTGTAGATTTTTATGTGGATTTGTTTTAGATTTTCATAACTATACAATTTTTTACTATTTTTATACAATTTATTTTTTAAATTTGTATGGTTAAAACATTTTGTTTAATAATTTTAAAAATAATTCTAAATACACATGGATATTTAAAAAAATGAGAATATCAGCATACCCGCCCAAATATAATCCCATTGGCATCCCTATTCAAGAATTAAGTACTAAAGTCTACAACTAGGCATTTTCTATGATGCAGTGTAATAGTGTACACAAGAACTTTATAATCGAAATAAATTGAATTTTGTACAATTTAATTACATTAGAACCAACTTAAACGAATATACAAAAGCCAAAATTACAAGTATCCAGCAGAAGCCAAAATTACAAGTACCCGAAAAGGTTTAGATAGTATCAAAGATTTAACTTTCTTAAAGTTGTTAGCTGATCACTGGATTACGGTGTAATAAATAATCAATTTTACATCACTACATTGGCATTGATGAAAAATGATATTGAATGGTAAATAAATCTTACAGTAATTTGTTGACCCTTATGTAAAATGACAGTCCAATCGTACCCATCGAGCACCAAAACTATACATGGCATGGTCTAAGATTTTACATACGAATAATCCTTCCATCTAGTGATTCCAGATCTAAATGTTCTCCTTAACACATCAATCCGTTCGGTCAAGATAGAATCTTTTAAGTTTTCCATTTCAGCATGTTCCTTTTCCATCAACAGCTCCAGATCGTCAAAATGTTTAACCTTGTGCAGCAACTTATCGATCTAGTTAACAAATAAGAAAATAAAAAATAGTTAACCCCTATTTAGAGACCTGAACCTGAGAAATTAGGGTGCTGATCGGAGATGAAGATATAAAAAATCATTAACTAAGAACCTGAGCTTTAATTATAGTTGCCACTAAATGTTCAATCTCTCTGACTTCCTGGTCTGCCAACAACTTTGCTCGAGCAGCAGCAGCTCCAAGAGCAGTTGCAGTGGCGGCTCTTACACGCAGTGGCAAAGGTATTTCTGCAAGAGCAAGCTCGGATTAAAGGTGACAAGCAGCTATACATACAATGTTTATCCACAAATACATATATCAACAAAAGATGCCCAAAACAATAAGATACCCATGCTGCTGTTAATTTAAAAAAAATAAAAAATTAAAGCTCTCTATTTCTCATGTCCGAAGTAAACCTCAACTGAGGCATGTGCAAAGGACAAGTGATAGATTGAAATAAATGCTACGGTTGGGGGACCAAACTCATTCTTCAAAATCATGTTATACGCAAGAAATCAATCTTTCATACTATAATTTCCCAACAGTTTCTTGATACTGAGAAAGAAAAATACAAAACAATGCCCATAAATGACCCCCCAGTAAGAAGCAACCGGTAAAAGAACTATCAAGTCGAGAATAGAACACTTGATCTTGAATTTTTTATTCTTAACCTTATGTTTTTGTGTCTATACTATTTTATTATTTTTAAGCAGTCCTATACCTATTCCCTTTTACTCAATTGTTTTATACTTCATCCTCGAGTTTTATAGCTCATCTTAAGTAAGCAACCCTTGCCCTAAAATGGGTTACTTATAATCAAATATGAAGTGTTTCCTGTCTGGAAATAGAGACAATTTTGCTAACGGAAAACTTGATTAGCAGAATGATCCCAAACTATGGAAAATCTCAAATAGGTCAAACTAAGTGAAGCATCATAATCCACGTAAATCACTCTTTCCCTTTCCATCGGATTCACCTTCTCTGTCCCCCAACTTACTGTGGTCTGCATTTGTTTGGAGCCTCTGGAAGGAGCGTAACTTGGGTGTACTTCAAGGAAAGACCAATAGCCTGGATCAGTGTATTAACATGATGTATATACAATGGGATTTCAGTCCAGGATCATGTCTCACAGGATTGTAATAAGAAGCATGCTTGAAAGGGGAGGAAGAGAAGATAATTGGTTCAGATAGCTGGCAGGGTAGGCATGAATGTGTATACAGTGACTTTTTTCCTTCGCCTGTAGTTGCCGTATTTTATGTTTGTTATGGGCTCAAGTAGGAAGATTTCTTGGTTATTACTATTTACTAGTGTAACGGTAAATAAGATATAAAATCCTCCCTGAATTGTTGATCGTCCTCTTGATTTTTAGTATGTGGGTCGATACCCCCTTGTAGCATATCCATATATTTTGACTGCTGGCAAAAAAATACTTTTTAACCAGTTTTTGGTCTCTTAGGCCTATGCAAATATACTTGCAGACCCTTGGTTTTTTGGCTTAGCCAATTGAAGAATTTAACTTCTAGCAACTCAATCCCATCCAAATAGTTATAATACCCCATCACAAGGTACTGACTCAAACCTTCATCTGACAAGGAACATGAACTCACCATTGTGTAACCCTTGCTCTCCCTGATATGGTTTCCTAATACAATGTCCACCTGATTACAAAACCTCACTTTACTGACAAATTAATCTAGTATTGTAAGTATTGAGAAGTATACCATGCAAAAAAGCAAAGGCTATGTAGAAAAATGGACACGTATAACCATTATCATCATTATTCATACAACTTGCATCGAATGAGCCAAAGTTCTTTCGTTTCACATATATAGGAAAGTAGATAAGTTTTGGGGGATGCAAATGTATGCAAAAAATGAACTTGGAATTATATGGATTGTCAAAAGAATATCAAAATACCACCTTAGTGTAAAAAAAATACCTGATATAGAGGACCTCTCCATCTCTAAACCTTCTCCCTCAAGATCTCTGACACAGATAATAATAAGTATGAGGACGGTATAATGGCTAAATTTAATAGTAAGTTACTAGTCAGCAAAATGTCATTAATGACAATAAACTAAGAGGTTTCGGGCAGACCTTGCTGAATCTTCTTCAACATCAAATATCTCCCTTGGACACAAATTCTCATCACAAAGAGCTGAAACAGCAGCATCAGCTGCAGCAGCTGTGATATGAGGGTCAACCACATTAGAGATCAGTCCCACCTAATTCAAAACATAAAAAATCCATGGTCATACTGAAGGAGGTGAAAGTAGTAACTGATTCAAAAGCAACTTTATTTCAAAAGAGTATAAAATATTACAACCAATATGCACATGTTTTTTCATGCTTTTTATCCCTGGACATTCAACATATACTAGAGATGAGACGGCCAAAGAGGCATTTAGACATGGTAAACAGCTATGATATGAGCCTTTCACAAAATCCAAAAATGTTACACATAAGGTAACTCCACAGCGAGTCAGAAAAAAGGGAATGCAACAGATTAGAAAAATTATAAGTTACACATATAACAAAGGACATGAAATGCAAGACTACCTGATTCATTAGAAAACCACTGGAATCTGACAGGGGAGTAACACGCTGTCTTTTTGAAGGACTTTCCTTCACAGCATCTCCGTTCTGCTCAATTTCTTTTGTAAGCTCAGGAGGTTGATCCTTTGTTTTTGAAATTTCTTGGTAGTCAGATGAAGATGACTGAACTTGTTTTGCATTGTTCACCACGGTACCATTAGCACCACTAACGTTGACATTTCTGTGAGCAGGGCCCAACATGAGCTCTCCAAAAGGCAGCTCAATGAGTTTTGAGATACAATCAAGTTTAGTCTTGGTTTGAACACTTTGAGCAACCAGTTCCCAGTCATCCCCATGCTTCAAAACAGATTCCAAAAGGAGAAGGATTTCTCCCTCAGTCCAGACAGTGTCATGCTTGCCACTGTTTTCACTTGACTCACTCAATACGAAATCCTCTGCAGACCTTTTCTCCCCATAATTCCCACTTTTGAAACAATTTGCACAAATAATGAAATTATCCTGCATGATATTAAAAAAAATAGAATAACCAACAATGATACCAGTTTCAGAAATATAAGAAAAATCCCAGATAGAAAGTTTAATGACATGGAATTTTATAAAATTAGATAAAGAGGCAGACAAAAGAGAGATAAACAAATCTCCCCAAATTAATTAACTTCAAACATGCTTTGACAGCATACATTCAAGAGGCCACGGGGATGTTAAATGAAGTCAATAAACTCCATTTTCCAACGGATGAATATAATACATAGGTAAGGGCGGAAATGGTTTACAAGTATAGGAAGCAGAAAACAGTCTCCTCGATTCAGAGCATGAAAAATAAAGGTTATCATGCAGTTCTCAAAATCCCTCCCATATTCACACTTCTACGGGCATAAAGTTAATGTAGAAGATTTTAAACATCCAAACACGACGAACCCAGTGCAGAGCCCCAAATAGCACTACGTGAAACAAAATGTTAGATGACCCCCACTCTTTCACTCAGATATGAAGAGGAAATAGAACCAAAGAATCGCACAATCTATCACCAGAAGTAATACCTTAATACATAAAAAAATTATATTTTTTTAAAAAGTAATAACCTGGGTACAACGGTAATGTCCTGAACCACATTTGCCACCACAAAGTCCACAGCTCCCCTCTTTCTGCCTAATCAAATCCCTATAAATATCCGAATAGGAGGCGAGCGGCGGCAATTTGAGAGAAGCCCCGGTCGCATTTGCACTAGTCTTCGCACCGCGAGGCAACAACATCGGCTTCAACGAGTTCGGTGTGGCCGCCACCCGAATCCCATTGGGGGTTCCTTCTTCGAGGCGAACTTTGCACGGCTCCTCCTCCTCCTCCTTCTCTGCGTCTGCAGCAGGGGGCGCGCCGTAGTTGATCAAGCCCCAATTCTCTAGGAAATGGAACGCCTTGTGCAGAAACGTGACGTCACCAACCAGCGATTTTCTGACCTCGGTGAATGTGAGCCTCCTGGAAGGCTCTTCCCTGTACTTGTTGATGATGAAGTCTCTGTATTCTTTGTATATCTTGGGCGTTCTCGAAATCGAGCTCGCGTCGAAGAATTCCTTGAATGCTGTTCTCTCCGTTTCATGAATTTCGTCCCACGCGAACCATCCTTACAAAACGACGCTGGTTAGGTGGAAACAGGAAGAGGGAAAAATTAGGGTTGGGAGAAAGAATGCTTACTTGAAGAGCTTGGGATGGTGTAGAGTTCGAGTTCGGGATCTGAATCGTCCAAGCGACCCGGGTTTGAGTTAGGATCTTTTGTGACTTCCATGACGGAGGCTCCGACTGACCCAAATACGGTGGCGTGGGCTATATTGCGCCAGATTCGGCGTCCTTGGGGATCACTTCAGGGCAGACACTTGTAGCAATGACCAATCATTCACGCCGTTATTGTCACTTTTCTAACCCGACCCGATAGCTGATCCGATGTTTTCAGACGGATTGCATTTTTAAATAATTAAATAAATATAAAACTCAGCTTTGATGTTGTTAAAAAACCAATTTTCTCCTCACCGGAAAAAAAATCATTTGAGATAAAAAAAAATTAAAATGAAACAAATTTTCATTCAGTTTTATTATTTGATTAATATTTTAAACAGAGTTAGCTTCTAAAACATGTTTAAAAAAAAGGAAATGTAAATGTATGACTTTTAATTTTCTTCATTATTAATTTTCTTCACTGTGACTTCGTTATTAAAACATGTAAATATATGACTTCTAAAACTTGGAATATTATTAATGATCATTACTTTTTATACGATATTAATTAAGACAGTGTTTTTAATGAAATAAATAAATAATCAACATCAAACAAAGAAAATGTTATTTGATTTTTCATTATGTCTATTTTTATGATTGCTAATGATTTACTAATTTTAATGTTTAAAATTTATTGTTTAAAAATTCAGAATTTATGTAGAAGTTATTGATGTTTAAAAAATTACTGAGAAGTAATCGGGATTACTCAAACCATCATAAAGTAACTGCGCTTTAAAAATCACTATTATAGGGATTAATAAAAACCATACAGTTTCTATCAAGAAATACACTTAGAGTTAAAACTCCTATAAGCACTAAATATAAATCCAATTAAATATAATTTTTTATTGTAGCGTGCATCAATAAAAAAGTATTTAAAAGAAAATAAAATATTACTAACAAATTTAAAAAAATTGTTAGCAATGGATCACTAGAAATACAGTTTATACTAATAATAAAATACCCAAATTTAAATTATAGTTGATGATATGAAAGAAGAAAAGAAAATTCATAAAATATAAATAAGATAAAATAGAATAGTCTACACAAGGATATTTTATCAAACTGTTTTATGATACTAATTTAATTGTATATTGTAATGGAAACGTTTTAAGGATTTTATCATACTTTTATTAAACGAATCTGTAAGGTTGTTCAAAATGCATATAGACACATAAGAAGAGGTAATAATGAATATGATTATTATTGAGACATGTTAAACATTTGTTTATACATCCCTTGATATTTACATTCATAATAATAATAATTATATTCTATTTATTTTTATGTCTATATTTATATATTTGTATTTCTACATAGTATATTTCTTTCATCTATTTTTTAAAATATTTTCCTTGAAAATCAAAATGATGGTTTCTTCCTTTAATTACTGAGTTATATGAATTGTAAATATCTCTTAATAGAAGGACTGATAAATCTCTTATAACACTATGCTTGAAAGCATTTTCTTAAGACTTTTTAAATCCTTTTTTATCGACTTACATCCTTATCAACGGAGACAACATCAAGTATATGTTGAAAAGTTGCAAATATTCCTCTTCAAAACGAGATATTCCTCTATCCTTCTACGTCCATCTTTCTTACGCGTTTTTTTTTTACATTTATGTTGTTTTCTTCTTTTTCAAACTTTTGGCTTCTTCTTCTTTACAATTTTTTACAATGATTAGTTCTTCTTCTACTTTTAAAGGACTAAGTTTAATATATATATATATATATATATATAGGGTTAAATATGTTTTTCGTCCCTTAAGTATCACACGATTTTGGGTTTAATCCCTACTCGAAATTTTTGTTTCTTTTAGTCCTTTTAGTTTTAAAACTCAGTATTTTTAATCCTTAAAAACGTTGTTTTTATTTTTTGAAATCAGATTTAAGTGATGTGCCACTTATGTTTTCATTTATGAAATCAGATTAGGGCTTTTTTATGTTTGAAAATAACTAGGGTTCTTAGCAAAAATCAAAAGTCCGACACAACAGCAACACCCGTCTCTCCCTCTCCCACCAAATAACAACAAACTCATCAGGTTCAAATACTAAACAAGGCACAAGTTCAAATTCTGAATACATCAGTTCAACCCACGATTCAATTTCTGCCTCTTCTTAATTCCCTCACGATTCAATTACTTCCATGGCTATCTTCAATCAAGCACTTTTACGCGAACCTGTCTTCAATCATTTATGAAATCAAATTAGGGGTTTTTTATGTTTGAAAATAATTAGGGTTCTTAGCAAAAAGAGTAATAAAAGAGAGAAAAAGAAAAAAAAACAACGTAGTACAAAGTTATCAAGGAAAGTGACATCTGACATGGCTCGTTGTTAGCCACCTCACAGGAAATCTAACCCCGCGAGTTTTAAAACTAAAAGAACTAAAAGGAACAAAAGTTAAAAAATAGATAAAAAAAATATAATATATAAAAATACAAATATATAAATATAAACATAGAGTTTGTTAATTTATGTAGGGTCTTTTTTCAGTGGTACATTTTAGCATAGTGTACCAAATTTTAATAGACAAAAAAATTCTCATTGAAAAAACATACTTTAAATCCAAAGGGTAGTAATTTATCATCTATGATTTTCTAATTGTTGTCACCTGTATTAGTTATTTTTTTAAGAATAAGTGCATTATTAACGTCATCTATAGGCAACATCTTAGTAACATATTTCTTTTGTAACTTTTACTTATACTTTTAATAACATATTTTCTTTAAGTAATGGTTATTAATTTATGGATCTCTTCCAAAATAATTACTAATCTTTCTTTTATATAAATATATATATATATATATATATATATATAT